CACTGAGCAAAATCCATTTTAACACACGTAAAAACTACGATATTTTTTTACATTTTTTACAAATATTTTTATACTGTTTTAGACTGAAGCAATATGGCTCAACAAAATGCATGGGAAACCAAATTCAACGAACTATTTTCTGAGCTGAATGACCCGTGGAATTTGGAAATAGTAAGCAATGTAGTGCAGGAAAGCGGATGGCTACAAATGCAATACACTGGAAAAGCAACGTTTGAATGTAGCACAGCCACATGCAACAACAAATGGACATCCATTAATGCTGGAGCTAGAATCTACTATCGCCAATTCGGTTCCAACACTGGACAACAATCACAAACTGGGAAAGTAAAACTGTTTCTGGGTGGACAAAAATGTTTGAAATGCAACGGCGTATTCGAAAATGCAATGTGGCACAACTTATACATAAAACGTGCGATTACAAAACTGTTGAATAAAGTAAAGCAAAAGTTCTATGGTTTGAACGTTCCCACCAGTACAACAGGAAACGCATATGTCCAAGCAGATATGTCCGCCCCTCACCAAACAAGTCTTTGTGAATTTTGTGCGATGGGAATATGCCAGCATGGTCAACAGAATGATATTGACAGCATCGCAAATCAGTTCGAACACCTCGACGTGTCGGATGAGGACTACGATGACGTGTCGGATCATGACTACGATGACGTGTCGGATCATGACTACGATGACGTGTCGGATCATGACTACGATGACGTGTCGGATGATGACCATGATGACGTGTCGGATGATGACCATGATGACGTGTCGGATGATGACCATGACGACGTATCGGATGATGACCATGACGACGTGTTGGATGATGTCCATGATGACGTGTTGGATGATGACCATGATGACGTGTCGGATGATGACCATGATGACGTGTCGGATGATGACCATGACGACGTGTCGGATGATGACCATGATGACGTGTCAGATCATGACTACGATGACGTGTCAGATCATGACTACGATGACGTGTCAGATCACGACTACGATGACGTGCGGGATCATGACTACGATCAGTACGATGTTTACCACAATAATTAGTCAGATTCAGATTGATATTCAACACTTCACTTTTTTGTACATTGGTGCATTGTTGACACACAACGGAATGACCAACCTCGTACCCAGGGTCTTACCTTCGAGCGCGTGCGAATGTAAGACCCTGGTACGAGGTTGTGTGACTGACATACACGGGCTCAGAGTAAGTACATACAGAGGTCTCACTTCGCAGGTTAATTTAGTGTCTGGGGGTCAAGACATGCGTGTTTTATATCACGATTACTGACTGAGCGCTCTTCGCATCCGTGAAAAGAATGGGACTGGCCTTCAAGTTTGGCTTCAAGTAGCGTTCCAGTTAGTATCATTTGAATGATTTTTTCAGTCCGCCATATCCTTAGTAAGTGCTCCAAAGAGAGGCAGTCACCCCCTGAAAACATATTGAAATTTGTTTAATGTTCCAGGGGGGTGAATACTTCTCTTTAGGGCACTTGCTAAGAAGATGGGCGCCAGCTATTTCGGTAAAAACTACCTATGTTTTTCCCGCAGAAGTAAGACCTCTGTTTGTGGTACTCTGTAAAAGGGGGGGGGAGGGGCGTCGCTAGCCTTATTTAGATTGGAAGGAGGGGGGGGGGGGGGGAAG